CCAGGGCGCCGCAGGCGGCGGCGCCGACACGGAGCGGGACGTCAAGATGGTTGAGGCTGATGGTGGTGTTCTTATTGACCTCCGCTCTCAGCTCGAGTCTGACGGCAAGCTCACAGATCCAGAAGTGCAGGCCACCATCCAGAGCCTGTTCAGCAAGGCGACCCAGCGCCTCGAGGAGGAAAAGGCTGAGGTGGCAAAACGAGACAGGCGCAGCAGGAGCCCAGGATCGAGGTCTAAGCTGTCCAGTTCCTAGCCTGTGGAGTTTTTTCTCGGCCAATGTCACTAGTTGGCCGAGATGCCAGAGTTTTTTGGAGAATGAATGTGATGGAGTCACATGTTTCCTTCAGGAGTGCAAAGTTGAGAAGGCCAGCCTGGTCCAATCTAGCAGCACGCTTCTGAAGTTCGGTTGGAATGTAAGGTTAGGAGCCTGCGAGGTGACCCAGTCTGGAGGCCTGTCTTCGGGGGTAGGAGTCGCCTGTAGATTAGGAGTAGGCATGGGCACCCTGGAAGGCCTGCCGAGACCAACCTCGAGAGTTGTATCCGCGTGGATTGGTGGTCTGCTGAAGGGTGGCATCATTGGGGCCTCAGTTTACTTGCCGTCTGGGGAAGGTGCAGGGGCCCAAGGGCGCCAGATCCTGATGCAGCTCGGAGAGTCTCTGTACACGTCTGGGAAACCCTTTGTTATTGGAGGGGATTTCAATGCGACTGCTGATGAAATCAGAGGCCTTGGGATCTTGGAGAAGTTCGGAGGCGTTATCGTCCAGCCTGGGCAGCCTGCGTGCAGAGTGGGCAAGGATTGGCGTACGATTGATGTTTTCATAGTCTCCGGAGGGCTGGTCCCAGCAGTGGTAAGATGCGATAGGATTGAAGAGACAGAGCTTTCGACGCATTTCCCAGTTAAGCTAGTACTTCGCACGGACTCGCATCTTGCTCAGATTCGCGTGCTGGCCAAACCGCGTCAGTTTCCCCTTGAGTTACCAGTGGGACCTGTGCCAGGCCCACCGCCAGCTTGGGAAGAGTTGCTAGATAGGTTGGAGACCTTCGTGGAAGGCTCGGTCTTCACGGCTGAGCAGGCGAAGGATACGTATGCGGATTTCTGTGCATTGGCTGAGCAGGAGCTGGCGAACACTTACCAGATCGATCCAGCGCAGGCCGATGGGTACAAAGGAAGAGGAGCCCCCTTCAGGTTCGTTTGGAGGCCCGCGCTCACGAAAGTCGGAGGCCCCTACCCTCTGGGATCCCCAGTTTCCAGGGCGATGAGGAGGTATAACGTCAGGATGGAGGAGTTGTTGTTTTTGCTCCGCAAGGGCCGTTCAGGCCAGGATAAGCAGGTGCAGGACTTGCTGAGAAAGGCAAGGGAGCCGCCCACGATCCTGTGGGAGTGCGAGCGCTGGGTCAACTGGAGGCATAAGCATTTTTCTCTGGAAGGATACCACGCCGAGGCGCTGCACGAAGCGATCCAGGACCATGTTAAGTGTATCCAGGGCGAGGAGCAGGTTTGGAAAAGGTCTCGGCAACAAGAGTGGAGACAGTGGGCCCGCGCGGCCCTGGAAAACGGCGGAGGGAGAGTTCACAGGTGGACGAAGCAGCCCAACGACTGGATCCCCGCGGACCCTGGCCTCGATGGGGCCCCTGGAGGTTTTCAGGACCAGGTGGAGGCCCTGGAGGAGGAGTGGAAGCACATCTGGAGGTTCGGGGAGGTGCCCAAGGTCGCCCCCAGGATGATCAGTGAGATGCCCCTCGAGGACCCGAAGCCGCCTGTTGAACCAGAGAAAATCAGGTCCGTCTTGGGGAAGTTCAAGAAGCACACCGCCGTGGGAGTCTGTAACTGGGCCCCGCATGCGCTGAAGCAGCTCTGTACCTCTGGCCTGCTTGCGCTAAGTGTCCCGATGTATTTGTGGGACGCGCGCTCCCAGCTGCCCGAGCAGATTGCGCTGCTCATTTTGCCGTTTTTGCAGAAGCCTGAAGGGGGGGGGGAGGCCCATTGGGGTAATCTCCACCCCTGTACGGCTATATAGTCGACTTCGGCATGGGGAGGCGGGGAGGTGGGAGGACAAGCACGCGCGCGCGTACATGTGCGGAGGAAAAGGTAAGAGTTGCGAGATGGCTATCTGGAAGCAGGCGTTGTTGAACGAGGCCGCTCGAGCCAGCAAATTTTTCAGTGGGTGTACGCTGATTGACCTGGAGAAGGCGTACGAACGAATCACGCACGAGCAGTTGATAAGAGCATGTAACAAGCACGGGTTCAGTTTGTGGAGGTTAAGGTTTCTCCTGTTGGTTTACTCGGGCAAGCGGGTCATTAAAGTAGGAGAGGCGGTGTCTTTGCCCTTTGAGCTGAACACCACCATTGTGGCAGGATGCTCGTATGCGACGACGCTGCTGAAAGTGGTGTTGTTAGATGTTTTTGACGCTGCGGCCAAGAAGTGGCCGAGGATCGGCATTTCTTTGATGGTGGACGACGCTGGTCTCCAGGCAGTGGGCGATCAGAAGTATATTCGGACTCAGCTAGTTAGGTGCACACTGTTTGTTTGCAGGTCCCTGGAGAAGCTCGGGATGAAGGTTTCGAGACGTAAATCGATCCTGGTGGCCTCGGACCCGAAACTTGGAAAGCAGCTGGCATGGGCGCTTCGGGAATTTGGGTTCAAGTATGTTCAGGCGACCAAAAACCTCGGGGTCGATTTCAAGCTGAGGGCTGGAAAGGGTAGAAACGTCACAAAAAAGAGACTGAAGACGACAAGGGGCAGGGTGAGAAGGTTCAGGGCTTTCAGATTCTCTCGGAAGCCACTTCAGCATGTGTATCGAGGAGGCCCCACGCTGGCGGTAATGCATGGTGTCTCGGTCGTCGGTCTCGGCGACACGCAGTTGGAGCAGCAGCGCGCCTCGACAGGGGCGGCTATTCTCGGGCCTGTCAAGGGCCGCAGCCGCAGTCTGCAGTTCCTTTTGGCGGAGGTCGAGAAGCTCGACCCGATGTTCGCAGCAAATTCCCTGCCTCTGCAGATGTGGGTAAGAGCAGTTTTTGATTCGTGGGCCACGGATGCCCAGATGAAGCACGCCTTCGACTACGCGGTCAAGGCTAGGTCTCAAGGGTGGAGGACGGTCCTAGGCCCAGCAGGAGCGGTGGTGCTCACCCTTCGCAGACTCGAATGGGAAGCTGTCTCCTGGGATGTTTGGGTCAACACTGACGGAGTGACCATCAACATCAAAGAAGTAGGGCCTAGGACTGTGCAAACCCTAGCGGATGAAGCGACTAGACGACTTCTACGTTTACGTGCGGGAGCTCATTCCAATGCCTCTTGGGAGCCATATGTGGAGCCTCTGCGTGATGAACTTGCTAGGTTAAGAGGTGCTGGGGATTTCCTTGGGGCCAGTCTGCTTATCGCGCAGGTTTCTGGGGGTCTCTGGACTCAGGCCGACGTTTTCAGGAAGAGATACGTGATTGATGATCGGTGCCAGTGGTGCCTCCAGATGAGGGGGTCGGTTTTTCACCGATTGTGGGGCTGTGATGGCTCCAAGCTGTTCAGGAGGGACCATGACAATAGTGGAATGGGGGCCGCCGCCGTGGCCCTGACTCAGCCTGACATCTTGTTCACGAGAGCCCTGGCGGACTCCAAGAGGACCGAGTTCCCCAAGATCCTCCAAGGTGCCGGGTTTAGGTGGGCGGTGAAGCCCGAGAGTGGAATGCTAGGCGACACCGTCTGCATCGACGGCTCCGCCTACGGCGGAGACATTCGTTGGCTGTTGCGGGCTGGTTGGGCGGTCGTCTCGATCAGCCCCAGTATGCAGGTGGACGCAGTGGCCTACGGGCCCTCCCCCCTCCCAGTGCAGGACGTGCCGTCCAGTGAGCTTTACGCCCTCTACATGGCGCTCTGCCTCATGGGACCCAGAATCCACATCATAACGGATTGTAAAATGGTCTACGACGGGTGGAACATGGGAAGGGAGGGGACGGTAAAATCCAACAAGTGCTACGCGGAGCTCTGGCGCCTCATCTGGATGAGGATCGAGGACGTCGGAGCCAATTCTGTGAACGTGTGCTGGATGCCTTCGCATATGTCGGAGGCGGCGGCGCAACGAAGAGGCTACGAGCCTCATTGGATCAGAGGCAACCAGGAGGCAGACTCCTGGGCCAAGTCAGGTGCCAAGGCGCATCCAGCAAATCATCACCTTCGGGATCGTCTGCGGCATCATCATGATCAGGTTACGCTCATCTCCAGATATATGGTGGCAGTTCTCAAGCATGTCCATCAATTGAGCTATCCTGATGTATCATCATACTCTGAGCGTGCCAAACGAGAGCCTAGGAATTCGGAGGCCCCGATTCTTGAGATAGTCCCAGATGATAAGGGTCACGTTGTCTCGCAGGCTCCTGGCGGTGGGTGGGGATGTGGTGTTTGTGGGCTGGCGCGGGCGATTCGCTCTCGGCTGGTGCAGCTGCCGTGTCCTGGGCGTCCGAGGATTGTGTCCCAGGCCCACCCCACCCATCGTCTTTGGCAGAATGGAGGACTGACCTGGTGCGTGCGCTGCGGAGCGTATGCCCGTTCGAAGGTCAAGGAGTTGTGCAAAGAGTGTTCGGGAAACCCCGACACTGAGTGGAAACGGAAACCCTGGGGATTTTGAAGCAGGGGAAGGATCCCTCGCACTCTAAACTGGAGGCGGTCATCCCTGTCCCCCTCAGGAGCTGAGTTTCCGATTCTGTAAAGGGCGGGCGTCTTGTGTCATCGGGACGACCGCTGAGGAGCGCAAGAGCGCAAGAGGGGGAGGAAGAGGAGGAGGAGGAGGAGGAGGACGAGGAGGAGGAGGAGGAGGAGCAGGAGGAGGAGGAGGAGGAGGAGGAGGAGGAGGAGGAGGAGGAGGAGCAGGAGGAGCAGGAGGAGGAGGAGGAGGAGGAGGAGGAGGAGGAGGAGGAGGAGGAGGAGGAGGTGGAGGTGGAGGAGCAGGAGGAGGAGGAGCAGGAGGAGGAGGAGGAGAATGAGGAGGAGGAGGAGGAGTGGAGGACCAGTGTAAACCCAAGGACCACCACCGATGTTGGAATGCACCCTCCCTCCAAGCTCCCGCTTCATAGGACCCTACAATGTTTCATTTCCATTGTGGGAACTGCCTCGTTGGAAAACAATTTTCTCATTACCCGAAGCATGCCAAAACATTGTTCTCGGGATTTCAACGCCACTGATCAACCTGACTGTTGCGTCTTGACGGTCCTGGATCGTGACAGAACCAAATTCTTGGGATTTCAACACTGCGAATCAACGTAACTGTTGCACCGGCAGAATCCTGAATCACTCCAACACATTCTTTCTGGTACGTTGATCATGGGAATCCGTGAAACTCTTTGCAACTTGTGTAAACGAATTTGCGCGGCGCTAAGGGGAGAGCCACATTTCGAAAAGGAGGCGCCCTCAATCCGTGAACCTCGTGCAAGTTGTTAAAGCGAACGTGCGCGGCGCTCAGACGAGTGCCACATTTTGAAAACGGGTTATCCTCAATTCGTGAAGCTCGTGCAATTTTAAAAGCGAAGGTGCTCGGCGAAAAGGCGAGAGCCACATGTTGACAACGGGCTATCCCCAATCCGTGGAACTCCTGCCAATCTTTAGAACGAAAGTACGCGGCGCTACGGCGAGAGCCACATGTTGAAAACCACCCGCCCTCCATTTGTGAAACTGTTGCCAATTTTTTTAAAGTTTCAGAGTCATCAGTGGTGAGGAATTCTCAGGCGAAACGCCCAGCCTGCCCTAGAAACTGGCCTCGGAGTGCGACAGGGAGAAGTTTGTATACGGAAAAGGAGCGGAGGAGGAGGAGGAGAAGGAGGAGGAGGAGGAGCAGAAGGAGGAAGGGGACGAGGTGGATGAGGAGGAGGAGGAGGAGGAGGAGGAGGAGGAGGAGGAGGAGGAGGAGGAGGAGAGTTTCTGTCTGGGTTCCTCACTCGAGCATCAAATGTCAAATCTCACAAGCTGCGTGCTCTGGGACACGGCTCTTGTCGCCACTTCTCATCCTCTGAGGGTGCTCACGCTCCCGAGAAACCCGAACAAGAAAACGCTTGCGGTGGGGGGCTTCGGGAGCGGTGGAACGGCTGCCAGCGCTTCGCTGGCACGCCCCACGCAGGGCGGGCCTTAGGCTGTGGGTGGGGTAGCGCATGACAGACCCTGGTCAGCGGAGACTCAAAGGCCACTCCCACTAACCAGAGGCACGCCTGGCACATCACCCATCCCTCGGCCCACGACGCCGTGGTCCTCGTCCTTTGCATGCGATCAGCCTCGCCATCTGGTGTACTTCATGAGTCTCCTTGTTAACTCGTACCTCCTCGAATGCTCGTGCTCTGTCGCCTTGCATACTCTATCCCAAAGCTATCGCTGGTGCTGCCTCGACCATTACCGATTCAATCGCTTTGCTCATTTCGCCGGCCCATCTCGCACCACTGGTTGCGTGGTGGTGTGCTCGTGCCCAGGGGGAACGGTAGGGCAGGCAGGATTGTCCTCGGTCGAGGAAATCTTTGGAGATGGGGATCGCACATTGTCGACGAGAGCCGATAGACTGCCCCAGAGGGCGCCAAGATGGCTCAAGAGAGCTCCGGCATAGTTTCGAGACGTACCTGGGTTGTGGGTCAGAGTCCTCATGGACGCTTCTTGGGGTCTCTTCGGAGGGCTCTTGGGAGCCTCTGGGGAGCAGTTTGAGGCCTCTTGGGGGCCTCCTGGGGGCTTCTTGGAGCCTCTTGGGGCTTCCTTGGGGCCTGTTGGGGGTCTCTTGGGAGCACCCAGAGGTCACAGCCTCGTCCTCGGCGACGGCGCGCCCCGATCGGGCGTCGCAAGGCCCGGCGCAAGACGACCACAGCATCACGGCAGCGTCGTAAATTGCAGCAGCGGCGTCCAGCGGGGCATTCAACGGTGCCGCCCCATCAACTTCAGCATCGGCAACGCCATCGACACCGATTGCAGCATCGAGTGCCTCATTAGCTTCGACCGTGTCTTGGAATGGCTCGACCCCTACGGTGCGCGTGGACGAGATCAGCGCGTGCGCCATCGACGGTCGCGACGTCAGGGTCGGCCACGACCATCGCAGCGTGTGCGACACCTGCAGGACGTGCCCGAAGCACGCCGCCTGGCTCAAGCGGAACGGCAGGGTGGATTTCAGCAGCCTCCGCTACACGCTGCGCTGGGACGCCGAGGACAGGTGGATAATCATCAACGACCTGCCGAACGCAAGGCACGACGCCAAGCTGAATTTGCAGGACAAGGCGAGCCGCAAGCGCAAGAGAACGTGAGTCCGCATTGCAGTGTTTTCTACATCTGGCATTTTTAATACGCAAATCTGCATGGCTGAGTTTTCAACACCCAGAATTTCTGTACGTACGTCCGCGTGGTCAGCTGCACCTGCAGCGTTTCTCTTGAAGTGCACATTGTAATTATCCAGAGGTGATGACGATCACCAATGTTTGCGCATGTCGTATTACAAAGTAGGAAGGACCAAGAGCCCGCTGCAGCGCATCCAGGAATAGCAAGCCGGGAT